TTTACCCCACTTAGCCTCAAAGATGAATGAATGCTATTTTTCAGACAGATTATTTTGTGCTACATAAACACATAATAAATATGATTACCGTTGTCTTCAGCACCTACATGGCTTCTCAAAGCAGGGTTTTCAAAAGCTCTCAGCAATGGCTTAATTGTACGGATAATAACCTGCCCCTGCCTTCAACTGCAGCAGAACAAGATGAAAAGCAAAGGCAATTTTAAAGTCCTGTCTTAAAAGCCAACAGCGCTGCTCTGACAAGCTCATCCCCACCAAACCACACAAGGCTAAGGAAAGTCACATTTAGTTCTATCTTCTGTCCAAACTAGAGGGGAAGCAACCGGGGCTGTGCAGCCCCTCAGACGCGGCAGACACGCAGCCCCACGCTCCCAGCCCGGCTCTCGTGCTTTGCACGGTGCATCCACGGAAAGGTATGGAAATGGAGCAAAGACCAGCAAGGAGCCCACTCCCAAACGCAAGCGCACTGCAGAGCTGCCTAGCAGCACAGACCCTGCTCCAGGTTCAGTGTCCTTGGGAGGAAGATCCTGGCCAAGCTCCTTGCAGCCAGCATTGGGAAAGCCTGTGCTGGACTCACGCTGGCCTCCAGACGGCCGTTACCTGTACAGCACACACGCACCCTAAGGCCCTGTGTCCCCACGTGAATTAAACACCCACAGAGGCAGCTCAGGAGCACATGAGAGGGGCCATTCCCTGCAGGCTGCTCCCGCAGTGAGGAGGGTTTGCTCTCAGCCCCAGGGATGCTACTTCTCTGGCAGCGGCGCAGGCTAATGACTTGGGAGCTAAATGTCTACTGAAAGTGCATAAAACTTTCCAAAGGACAGGAAGGCAGGGAGGTGCTATATGGCACTTGACATGGCCAACAAAACAGTAATTCAAACAGTCATGGAATGGTTGGGGCTGGAAGAGACCTTAAAGACCATCTAGGCCAATCTCCCTACCATAGGCAGAGACACCTTCCACTACATCAGGTTGCTCAAAGTCCTGTCCAACCTGACCTTGAACACTTTCAATGACGGGACATCCACAACTTCTGTGGGTGACCTGTGCCAGTGTCTCATCACCCTCATCATAAAAAAATTTATTCCATATATCCAATCTAAATCTAATGTCTTTTAGTTTAAAGCCATTGCCCCTTGTCCTATCACCACAGACCCTAGTAAAAAGTCTCTCTCTTTCTTATAAGCCCCCTTGAAGTACTGAAAGGTTGCAGTAAGGTCTCCCCAGCGCGTTCTCTTCTCCAGGCTGACAATCCCAACTCTCTCAGCCTGTCCTCACAGGAGAGGTGCTCCAGCCCTTGGATCATTTCCGTTGCTCTCCTCTGGGCCTGCTTTAACAGGTCCATGACTTTCTTGTGCTGGTGACCCCAAAGCTGAATGCAGTACTGCAGGTGGGGGTCTCACCAGAGCAGAGTAGAATCACCTCCCTCGACCTGCTGGCCACGTCTCTTTTGATGCAGCCCAGGATGCAGTTGGCTTTCAGGGCCAAAAGCACAAATTGCCAGCTCATGTCCAACTTGTCGTCCACCAGCATCTCCGAGTCCTTCTCGGCAAGGCTGCTCTCAATCCCTTCATCTCCCAGTCTGTACTGATATTGGGGGCTGCCCCGACCCAGATGCAAGACATTGCACTCAGCCCTTGTTGAACTTCAGGAGGTTCACATGGGTCCACCTCTCAAGCCTATCAATGTCCTTCTGGATGGCATCCCCTCCTGCAAGCAAATCAACTGTGCCACTCAGCTTGGTGTCATCTGCAAACTTGCTGAGTGAGGGTGCGCTCGATCCCACTGTTTACGTCATTGATGAAGTTATTAAATAGTACTGGTCCCAGTAAGGACCTTTAAGGGACACCACTCATTACTGGTTTCCACTTGGACATAGAGCTGTTAACTGTAACTCTTTCAGCAAAGCCACCCAACCAAGTCTTTATCTATCTAACAGTCCAACCATTAAACTTGCATTTTTCCGATTTAGAGGCAAGGATGTTTTGGGGGACCATATCAAAGGCCTTACAGAAGTCTAGGCAGTTGATACCGTAGCTCTTTCCTTATCCGCTGATGCAGTCACTCCATCACAGAAGGCCACTAGATTAGTCAGGCACAGTTTGCCCTTGGGGAAGCCATGTTGGTTGTCTCCAATCACCTCCTTGTCTTCCGTATGTTTCAACATAGCTTCCAGGAGGATCTGTTCCATGATCTTACTGTTTTTTAAGAAACACTGCAGAGTTTTATCTGTTGTTGCTGGTGAAAGCTGTGTCTGCGCTGGCCCCACTCACCCATCCCATGCTGCCGCATGCACCGCAGAGGCAACACAACACCACGGACAAGCAGGAGAAAGGAAACTACAGCAGCTGCGCAAAAACACCCCTCACCTAACGCCATACTAGCTGGAAACAAAAACCATCCCCCCTGCCAGAGGAGAGGATGCTACCGCAGCTCTTTCCTCTGTACTGACTGCAGTGATGTGCCGCAGTGCTCGACATCACCTTAGCATGATGGGGGCATTCCAAGGGGGGCATATCATTTGGTTCACAATGCTGGGCTGCCTTGCTCTGTTGCACTTGCCACCAGAAAGGAAAGGAGTGTACATCCCCCAAGCTGACTTTCTGGCTGATGCATCTGCACTGTGGCCTTCAGATGGTGCTTGGGCAAAGCCCGGGGCTGCAAAAGGAAGTACATCATGACCTCCCCTGAAATCTCCTCAAAGCAGTGGGCTCAAGGTGCCCCCAGAGCTCCTGGACACTGGCACTGGGTTAAGATGCTGCTCCCTGCTCACCTGCCTTTGAAGTTTACTGCCTCTTCAGCCTCACCACTTCTGCCCGCTGCTGGGACCTCCCAGCAGGATGTCCTGGGGGGATCACACTGACCTGGGGGACTTACTCTTCCTGAGACCAAAACCACGTCTCCTAGCAGTGCCTGCGACCCAAGGCCATATGAGCCAGTGAGCCCAGTGCCAAGCTGCTCTGCAAATTGGAAGGACAGCCTGCTATGGGTACACCTCTCATGCCATCCCCACAGTGTTCCTCTCCTGTTGCTCCAACATGTAAATCCCAGCAAGAGACCCTGCGCCTGTTGTGGGACTGGAATATTTTCTTTCTTGAAAATCTGAAGGATAAAGAACATCGCGAGCGAGGGATGCCACTCACAATGCAAAGGACACTCCACAAACACATACATGCCAACGCAGCCAAGCATGCAGCATCTCCTCAGCGCTGCTGACGGTCGGTCTGCACTCGAGTGTTTTACCACAGCAATTAATTCAACTAAGTGTGAGTTTGTTTGTGTTTACCAAAACAAAGGCCACAGCTGATTTTGTGCAAGTAAAAACCCAGCTGTCTGGCACAGTTGACACAAATTTGCTACAGGTACAGATTTTCTCACTTCCTTATGGAAAATGCTTACAGCAAGATAATTAAATTGATCTCTGAATCTAAACCAGTGGAGATATCACAATTTTTCTTTTCATACTGAAGTACTACAATCTTTGGTCATAGATTCCAGGTTGGATGAGGCCTTGGGCAACCTCATGTAGTGGAGGGAGGGTTTCCCTGCCCATGACAGGGCGGTTGGAACTAGATGATCTTTGAGGTCCCTTCCAACCCTAACCGTTCTATGATTCTATGATACACCCTTTAAACGCTTGCAGGAACT